AATCATGTTTACTTGCTGAATGGTGGGAATGAAACGTCACAGGAAAGCAGTCTATATCGGTACAATGTTAATCGTGATATGTGGGAGATTATGCGACCGTTAGTGTGTTCAGTTAGAAAAAAAAACTGCAACGCAATGCAACGATAAACTATATGCCGTAGGGGGCGTTCAGTCAAGTTCGGCGTTTCAATGTTACGACCCGGAAAATAACATGTGGTCGTCGGTGGCGCCTTTACCAGATGACTGTTTTAATGATGATGGTATGGTAACTCGCGGTGGTTTGTCACTATCATCATTAGGGACAAATATTTTTGTGTATTCTGAAACTACAGGTGCCTTCAATTGCTACGACACATATTCAGACACATGGCGCCCGTTGCCTACCATGAATCGTATGAGAAAGGACCATTGCTTCGTGGAAACTATGGGAAACTTGATTGTGATTGGAGGAAATGACATCACTTCTTCGTGTAAGGTGTGCGAAATCGAGGCTTATGACCCTGTTCGAGAAGAATGGGAAGTGATTGACAACCTACCCGATGACTTCGTGCTGGAAAAAGTTGAAGCTGCAGTGTCCATCCCAAATAAATTACTATGGAGGTCATATGCATTGTAATAATCAGAATGGCCACTATCAAAAACAAACTTTTGGGCTGGGATCCCCCTACTTGGCACACATGCACATTGTATAACATTGTTAACAGGTGTCAACATTTCACAAGTTTAAATTGTTTATTAAAATCTGTAAAACCATTAGTTGCACTTAGAAGTGATGTAGATAAGTAAAAGATTGCCGGTGATATTATTTTGAAATGTAGTTTTCTGATAAAATAATGTTTCTGAGAAATTCACTGTATTCTAAATAATGATCGATGATGCAAGTAAACAATATTGTATTTGTGCATGCCATTCCAACATTAAGAAACACCGCTAGAGTGCTTTGGTATTGGGGGTGCAACATGATGTATCAAGTTCCCAATGAAATATTAGTATCTTTGTGTTGTACGCTTACTGTATGTCTCATGATTATTCTATACGTGGTGCTACGTTGCGCGTGGTTGGCGGCACGGGTCACCATCGTGAAGCTGTACCTCCAACTATATCCCATAATGTTCTTTAACAATGGCTGGCTAAGGGAATGACCATTCTGGAGGGGGGTCGGGCAAAACAGAGGGGGTCAGCATATTTTCCAAAGCCACAAAGGGGCAATGACTTTTCATCAAGGCTGAAGTGGGCGAATATTTTTCTCTTAAAGATTGAAACACATTTTTTTTTACTATACGCCTTTTTATTGAATAATAAAAATACATGAATATTTATATATATATAATATATATATAGACGGGTCCATTGATTTTTTTTTGTTGTTGAAAAAGCACCGAGAATTCCCCCTCCTTAGGAATAATAACCATTCCCTAATACAATAATATTTCAAAATCATGACGCTGTAGTTTGAATATACTATAATATATATCCCATGATGCTCTTCAACAGTGTGCAGATAATACAACAAC